TAAAAACAAAGAAACCTTAAACATCTTGCTTGGATGTCTATATATCACCCCAAGTGAATCAACTCGACATCCACAGCAACTTCAGCGCCAGGACAACCATCCTTGACTCTCTCTCCTTCTTTTGAAATGTGGCCCAGTTCATCAGCTTCTCTCTGCTGCCTGGTGCCACCTTGGCCACGCACTCTCATCCATTCACACTGAACCAAAGCCTGCCCCCTCATATTTATTTATTTTTATTTTCTGTATACATATGTGCATATGTACATGTGTATATATATGCTGGTATCCTTGGAGACCAGAAAAGGTCATCAGATCCCATGGAACTGGAGTGATAGTTGTGAGCTGCCACATGTGTACTGGGAACCAGACCTCCATCCTCTGCAAGAATAGCAAGTACTTTTAACCTTTGATCCATCTCTCCAAAGAGAGAAATCATCCAGGTGTGGTGGTGTACACCTTTAGTCCCAGCACTTGGAAAGCAGAGACAGATGGGTCTCCAAGGCCAGCCTGGTTTGTATAGCAAGTTCCAGGCCAGCCAGGGCTACATCGTAAGACCTTGTCTCAAAAAATAAAATAAAATAAAAAATAGCATTTGACTTCCTCCCAGCCACATGCCATCTTATGGCTTCCTAGATACTTTAGCAAATACCTACATTCATCACCATGCCCAGGCCCTGCCAGTTCTGGCTTTTTCAGATCTTTGCATCCACTTCCTGCTCTGAGCTCTGATTGCTTAGGAGCAATAGGGTGTGTGAAAGATGAAACAGCAACCCAAACAGCCAACAAATCCTTTATGTGCAGGCTGAGGAATAGTGGATGGTGGTACCTCTGATTGAAATGGGAAAGGTGAAGAGAGGTTGGGGGATGATCAAGAGCTGAGCTTAATAGACATGCTGACAAGATAGACCATGACCAGGTTGAACTCTAGACACACCCCTAAACTCAGGTCCCTTTCCCTACCTGGGTAAGGGATCCGGCCGTAGGTGACAATTTCCATCAGCAGGATACCGAAGGACCAGACATCTGACTTGATGGTGAAGGAACCGAAGTTGATGGCTTCAGGAGCTGTCCACTTGATAGGGAACTTGGCTCCTGCAGGGTTAGACAGAGCAGAATCAGGGTGAATCTGGGGACCTGTGAGGACTGGGGCTCCGTTAGGGTAGAGGAATCAGGACAGGGACACATGCTGCCCCCTGCAAACAGTGATGGCCCTGTACTGTGCCTCCCAGATCCATGGTATCAAGAGACATCTGTCTTGAGGATAGACAGCTGAAGCAAGGAGGAATGGGCATAGGGATGTAATACAGGTGCTCACTCTGGGGACCACCTCCTTGATTCAGCTGATACCTGGTGAATTATAACTCTGGGAAGTGGAATCCTAGAGGTCTTTGGGGATGGAGGAGCTTCAGGGGGCTTGAGTCCAGCTCACAGCTGATACCTCAGCCCACCCTCCAGCCATGGGGTGCAGGAGAGTGCTATGGAATGGTCTTTCTGTATGCTGTGAATATGTGTTGCTCCCATTGGTTAATAAATAAAGCTGCTTTGGCCTATGGTAAGACAGGATAAGAGCCAGGTGGGAAATACAAGCAGAGATACAGGGCGAAGGGTGGAGTCAGGACAGGTGCCATCCAGCTGCCCAAGGAACAAGATGCCAGCAGACCACTAACACCATGGCCATGTGGCAAAATATAGATTAATAGAAATGGGTTAATTTAAGATGTCAGAGCAAGCTAGCAATAAGCCTGAGCCAGACCAAGCAGTTTATGATTAATAATAAGCCTCTATGTGTTTATTTGGGACCAATCAGCAACAGGACACAGGAAAACTTCTGGCTACATCTGGAGCCCAACATGGGGCTGGAATTTCTGCAAAAAATCTGACAAAAAGCCGGGCAGTGGTGGCGCACGCCTTTAATCCCAGCACTCGGGAGGCAGAGCCAGGCGGATCTCTGTGAGTTCAAGGCCAGCCTGGGCTACCAAGTGAGTTCCAGGAAAAGGTGCAAAGCTACACAGAGAAACCCTGTCTCGAAAAACCAAAAAAAAAAAAAAAAAACTGACAAAAGCTTAAAAAAGGATTCTAGACTCACAAAAACATGAGTCAAACACAGCTTCTTGGTAGCTGCATTTTTTCAGATAGGCTCTTTTGCTGGTGGCTAACAGATGTGTGGCTCCTTTAAGAGACGGCTTCCTGGTTCATGCTGGCGGCACTCATGGCTCTTTCTAGAGATTCTGCTGTGGAACACTTAAATGGGGTTTGTGGGCAATGTGCTGCAAGCTGCTTGATGGTGGCATAGACCTGCTGCTTCCCAGAATTGGCAGTGAATGTACCTCTGCCATGTTGAAAAGCTGAACAGGGCAGAGCCAACAGCAGGGCGCCGCTTGGGTTTTAGTCACACAGCTTAGCAGTTTAAAAACTCTCTGGGTCAAAAAAGGATTAAAGATACACAATAAAACAGATTCAGATGGAAAAAAAAAAACTTCTAAATGGGTTACATTGTATTTAAAAGATACACAATAAAACAGATTCAGATGGTAAAAACCTCTAAATGGGTTACAATGTATTTAAAAATATACATAGACTTGGGAGAAGAAAGAAAAAGGATAGAGAAAGTCCTTTAAAAAGAAATAAAAATTAAAAAAACACATAAAGATGGAAAATACACAGAGTTTGGATACTGTATATTATTCTGTTATCTTTGGGATTTTTTTTTTTTTAACTGCAGAGAGACATTTGATTGTAGGGGCTGCTAAGTTAAACCAACATATATATCTTAAAGGTATCTTGATTTCAAAATTTGGGTCTAAGGATATGTTGCTTTGGAAAAGAGGTTCTGCTTTTGTTTCGACAGAAGATGAGAAGCTATAGATTCCTTCCAGGTTAATATGGTTCCATCAAGGAAGACCCCCTGAGAGGTCTCCAATGGATGATCCAACATCCAGAACAGCTTCAAGGCAACTGGCTGAAATGATGCAGCCTCATAGATGATTCCAGGCAGGACTTGACCATAATCCTAAATTTTCTCAGGATCCCCAGAAGATTGCCAGCATTCCCAATCAGCAGGAAGTAGTATAGAAAGCCCATGCCTAAATTTCCAAAATATTGTTTATGAATGTTTGTTTTTTTTTAAAGGGGGATATGATATAGAAATGATGAAAAAAGGTAGAAAATTAAATCTACTTTAATCCAAAAAACAACTGTTAATCTCAAAATACTTTACATTGGGTTTATTAATATAAATTTAAGGTCTATTTTGTTATACTGTATGTGTATTTCTGCTCTTATTTAAGGTATTATGTTAATGCAACTCATTTAAAATTGTAATATTAAACACAAATTAATAATCATCTATGATAATCAAACTTATAGTCATGTTAGTTAAGTTTTTTAGATATATAAAGATATATCAATTAGATAGATTATCTTCAAATACTTCAAAATATTTGAATATGGCATTCAGAATATGGCATTTAAAATATTTTAAGAACTTAGCCTTTTCTGGACAATGAGACATGTCTGCTCCTGGCAGCACCAATTACTTCAAAGAGAATGATGGGCATTGAAGAAACTTGTTATGGGGTTTGCTTACAATATAGAAAAGGTTAGTCATTTGGGCAAGAAACTGCTCTTGCCTGAACTGCTTGACAGTATGTTGTATGGGACATGCAGGACCCATAGGAAAATGACCACTGAACTTTGCCAAATAAGGTGGGATGGTCCTTCAGGTTCCTGCTTTGCAGAAGAAACTGCCAGACATTCTGCAGGACACAGAGGAAAGTGACTGATGAGCTTTGCTGTTATACAGAATAGTCCTTCGAATTTCCCACTTCCTGAAAAATATGCCAGAGACTCTAGGCCTGTAGGCTGAAGAGAAATGCCCCAATGTTACTGAGAAACTTTGGATGACTGTCCAGGTAGCCAGATGTCTCTGTCATTTCCAGAATTTTAGAAGTTGCTTACAATGCACTTCCTGTTTACTTAGGTAATATTATATCCTTCTGGGGTCTTTGATGGAGTTGAAGACTAGACAATTATAATTATAATTTTCCTTAGTTATGATAAAAGGTAAATTAGATATAAAACTTTAGACTCACAAAGATAGATGATAGAATATTTTCTTTAATTTTGCCAAATACAAATAGACTAGATATTATAACTGTAATTCTTACTTTATAACTGTTTTGTTATATATAATTTTACTATGTTCAAATGAAAAAACTTCCTTTTTGATTAGACAGAAAAGGGGAAATGCTGTGGGATGGTCTTTCTGTATGCTGTGAATATATGTTGCTCCCACTGGTTAATAAATAAAGCTGCTTTGGCCTATGGTAAGGCAGGATAAGAGCCAGGTGGGAAATCCAAGTGGAGAAACAGGGAGAAGAAGGGCAGAGTCAGGGCAGATGCCATCCAGCTGCCCAAGGAACAAGATGCCAGCAGACTGGTAATGCCACTGCCACGTGGCAAAGTATAGATTAATAGAGTTGGGTTAATTTAAGATGTCAGAGCTAGCTAGCAATAAGGTTGAGCCATAGGTCAAGCAGTTTATAATTAATAATAAGCCTCTATTTTGGACCGAGTAGCTGCGGGACACAGGAAAACTTCTGGCTACAGGAGAGGACTTCAGTTGCTGGCCGAGGCTGGACCTAGTCACTGGATGTTCCTTGTCTACCCCTCCCCCTTTCCTTCTAGGATGGGTTTGGTTAGCTGTTGGTGGGTATTTGTCTTAATTACAGTCTCATTGGTGAACATGGTCTGCAGTTGCTCCTTGATTTAGGATTATTCTCTGATAAACCCATTGTAAGGCAAAAACCAGAAGTCAGAAACACCTTGACCACTTGGCTCACTTAACACTTAGTTCAGGAACTTCACACCATGGCTTCTTTGTTGTTTCCTCTGGTGAGTAAATCAGAGCTGTAGCTCACTGCTCTGGCTTAGCATCATCGGGGGTGGGGGGTGGGGTGGGGTGGGGTGGGGGACAGCCTATCAACAGACTGGAAAAGAGATCAATATCCAAAGGGGAAGCATATTGATTGATTGATTGACTGATTGATTCATTGATTCATTCATTTTTATGAGACAGGCTCTCACATAGCCTAGCCTGGCCTCAATTCACTACATAGAGAGGATGGCCTTGAACTCCTGATCCTTCTGCCTCCACCTCCCTATTGCCCAGATTGGAGGCATGTGCTACCACGCCCACCTTTGCATCATTTCTTCTGAATGCAACTATTTCTGCACCATCACAATGTTGGAAATCACAATGTTGGAGATCATGGCCCAGCTCTCAATCACTCTCTGCTGCCACCTGCTGTCCATGCTTCATCATGGCTGGCAGAGCACATAGGCTGCAAGCTGAGGAGCAGGACCAGTAGCTGCCAAACAGCAGGGCTGTGGGGTAGAAAGAGCTAGAAAGCTTCAAGCAGTTCAATTTCAAAGACTTCAGCAGGGCATTTGGCTTCATGGCCAGAGTGGCCCTGTGGGCTGAGAAGCTAGGCCACCGTCTCTAAAGGTTTAATGTCCACAAGGCACACACAAGCATGGGAGCCTTTCAGAGCTGGACGCAAATAAACCTGACTGGCTTCATCATGGAAGTAGCCGAATCAGGGGAAGAAAGCAATTTAACCAGGACCCAGGGAGGGAACTGAGGACACATAGCCCCAGACTCTTGCTGCAGTCCAAACTGCCATGTTGACTCTAATGCTTCCTCTTAGGGTTGGATCCTGCCTGTGGAAAGAGCCAGAGTCACTGCCAACACCAGCGACTGAGGCCTTCTTCCCCCGTGCCACTCTCCACCCTCAGGACTCTGTCACACGATGCTAATTTGAATTAGTGCTCCCTAACATTGCAGCTGCTCTACAGACATATAATGCAAGTGGTCCTTTTGTGGTCCCAATTCAATTAAAAATTAAAGCTGGCTTTGGAATTGGAGCATGGCTCTCTCCTTCTCTAAACCCACACACATTGGTTAAAGGAAAATCCAAAATCTCTGTCTCATGTCACAAGAGCCACCTGGTATGGGACAGAAGAAAACAAAATTTATGGGACTATTCTATTGCTATTAATCTCATCATCCTTTGGTTTCTATTTAATACTTTTCTTAAGGTATAAATATTATCTCAAAATTTATAAGATTATTATACATATATTTAAACTTTCATGATATTAATGGTCATATAGAGTATTAACTAATTCTAGAAATAAACTTTATCTAGCTTACATCATTTTGGGCTTGAGTCTGAAGCAAGTAACTAGGAACTAAGTTTGTGTACCCCATATATATTTAACAGATTGTGGTTCTTTAACCTCTTGGAGATCTCCTGCATATGACATTTAACATGTTTAAGTTTTCTGCAGTGAACCATGACCATCCCTGATAGTGACCTTTGAGGTCTCCAAGGAGATGATGGGGCCCTGCAATGACAGATCCACCTAGATTGTCATAATGCCACTAAGCTGACAAATACAACCCAAAGATCAGCTTTGGACTACAAACTTCTCAGGACAATCCAAGGCAGTTAGTTAAGATGGTCCAGCCTCATAGACTACTCCAGCCAGAACTTGAGATAAGCCCTGCACTTTCTCATCACACCAAGACCGGACAACAGCTAGCTCTCCCAGGAATTGATCTTTATCTCAAATTTTCAGGGTCCCCTAAAGATACCATCACCCCCAGACAGACAGGAAGGAATTTTAAGAACATGACACCCACATTCCCAAGAGGTGTGTGTGGGGTTGTTTGGTGGGTTATAGATGTTTATCATCAGTTAGGGGGTTTCAAGTTGTTATTGGTCATGGTCAGGGAGGAAACTAAGGAAAGGAGTTTAGATTCAGGGATCTCTTTTTGAAAAGATAAAAAAGGGAGGATATAAGAATGATGGGATAAAAGTGTAGATTGTTGAATTTACTTTTAAACTAAAAAGCAACTATAGTTCTTGAAAGCTATTATTATAAACTATTCAGAATAATTAAGAAATTCAGGTTAGTAGTTAGTCATCTATAATGATCAAACTTGTAGTCATGTTAGGTATGTTTTCAAGGTCAGAGATATATTTTAAATAGGTAGATAGTCTTCAAACAATTCAGAGACCTACAAAAAATGGCATTTAAGATGTTTTAATACCGTAAGACTTTTCATGACAGACACATCTGCTCCTGACAGCACTAAACTACTTCAGAGAAGATGATGGGCATTGAAGAACCTCCATATGGGGTTTGCTTTCTTTGTGGCAAAAGCTAGCCATTTGGGCAGCTTTTTTTCTGACACTATGCTGTCCAAATTGGACAAGCAGGACACAAAGGAAGTTAACTGCCAAACTTTGCCAAGACAAGGTAGGACAGTCCTTCAAAATTCCTGCTTCACAGGAAAGTGTATCAGATATTCTAGGCCTGTAAGTCAAAGACAGATGCCCTAATGTTGCAGAGGAACTTTGGGTAACTGTCCAGGCAGCCAGCCAGCCCTGTCATTTCTATAGTTTAGGAAGTTGTTTGCTTTGTACTTCCTGTTTATTTGGGTAATAGTATATCTTCTTGGGTCTCTGAGGGGTTGAAGATAGATAGTTATACCATTTTCTTTGTTATCAAATTCAGAAAAGGAACTTACAAAAGAGATGTAAAGTTTATAAGGTTGAGAGACATAAAAGCTGAAGTTGTTTATCTAAGAAAATGATTTAAGGTCTAAAAGGATATTTTTAGGATGGTAATAGAAGTTATGATAGAAAGTGGTTTAGGTATAAAACTTAGGACTCATCAAAATAGGATAGATAATGGAGTAATTTCTCTGAATTTACTAAATACAGATGGACTGGATATTGTCAATGTAATTCTTACCTGATAATTGTTTTTATTGTATATAGTTTTTGCTATGTTAGAGTTAAAACCTTTCCTCTTTATTTAGACAATACCTGATAATTTTTCTTATTGTATATAGTTTTACTGTGTTAGAGTTGAAACTTTTCCTTTTTATTTAGACAAAAGGAGGGAAATGTTTCAGGATATTTGACCACATTATGACACTCTGAGACTGTAAATAAAGTTAACCTTGAATTAGGGGGCAGAGTCAATGACTAGCTGACCAGAATTACCCATAGAGATTTTGGAGGACATAGGATATAATAGAGAGACACAGGAAGAAATAGGGAGGGGCTTAGAAAGATTCGCAGGCCTTTTGACCTGGGAAGTGTGGACACAGGTCAGCTGGTCATTCTTCTGCTGCTTTCTTGTTCTATCAGGTTTTTACCCCAATATCTGACTCCCAAGTTATTAATAATAGAACAATTTAGACAAACAACAAATTCCATTTCATGGAAATAGGGTTATAGATGGCTGTGAGCCACCATGTAGGTGCTGGGAACTGAACACAGGTCCTCTACAAGAGCAGCCAGTGCTCTTAACTCCTGAGCCGTCTCTCCAACTCTCCTTTCTTTTCAAGAAACAGGATCTACATATTCTAGGTTGGCTCCAACTTATGATAACCCTCAGATTTCTGAGTGCTGGGATTTACAGCTCTTACTCTAAGTTAGTAATTTTCTTTATTTCATACTTTTGCTTTGTGTGGTACTAAGGCTTGAACCCAGAGCCTTGAACATGCTTGGTAGGCATTACTCTATTACCAAGCCACATCCTCAACTGCCATCTTTTATATCCAGAGAGTTTTCTTCATATCTCACTTATTCCCTACAGACTTAGATTATTATCCAACTTTTCATTTTATATTTTTGTAGTTAGTTTAAACTTTATCCAATCATAACAGAAATCGAATGGTGTGTGTGTGTGTGTGTGTGTGTGTGTGTGTGTGTGTGTGTGTGTGTTACTAGGGATTGAGTCTAGCACAATGCACATGCTAGGCATGTGCTCTTGCCACAGAACTACTTCCCCTTTACTTTTTATTTTGAGACAGGGTCATTAACTTGCCCTGGCAGGCCTTGAACTTGTTGTCTCAGTCTCCAGAGTGGCTGAGGTTACAAGCCTGTACCTCTAGACTCGGCTAAAGTCTACAGACACTTAAGGTCTAACTTGGTAGTTGATAGCTGAGTAGCCCCTGTGATCATCATCAGATTAAGGCAGAGAACATTTGCAGCCTTTCAGAAGGCTCCTCCCAGGTAGTACCTCTCTGCTCCAGCTAGCCCCTATTCACAGCTTTGTCAGCATAAGTGAATTTTACAGCTTTAATGAGATATAATTCACAGGCCATAAAATCCACACATTTAAAGTGTGTACTCCAGTGGCTTTCATAATAGTGGAAGAGTTGTGAATTTTAGGCTGTTTCATCACATGTCATCCAGTCCCATTCCTAGCACTCAGAACCCCTTCTTCCTGAGTCCCCCACCCAGCCCTAGGCAACCACTGCTCCACTCTCAGCCTCCACAGCCGTCTTGGTTTCACTTGGGAATTTCATACCAAGGGTAACAGATATCTGTATTTGTGCCTGGCTTTCACTGAGCATGCTCCCAAAGCTTGCATATGTTGCTCCCAAAGCTTGCATATGTTGCAGCACCTTTCAACACTTCATTCCATTTTATCACAAACACTCTTCTGTGGTATGGATACTCAACATTTTCTTCATCTGTTCATCAGCTGATGGGCATCAGTTAGGGTGTTTCAGTCTGGGGCTATTATGAAGAACACCATGAACTTCACAAATGACTTTTGCCTGTTTTTGGATTCCCTGTCTGTGGAACCTCCTAGCATCTGCTCTGTTTAGACTCATTTCTTTCATTTGGATGTCACGCCTCCCCTTTAGCTGCAGGTGGCATTGGTGTGTGGTGTGATGGGGATGGAACCTGTGGCCTTCTGTGTCTGTCAGTCAAACCTCTATCACTGAGTGTCATCTCCAGCCCCCGGTGTGGGTTTTTCCACTGCTGTATGATGCCACACTGTGTGAGTGATACAGTTGGTATGCACACCCTGTCTGTGGACATTTAGGTCACTCTTACTTTGTCTTCTGTGAATAAAGTTACTCTCACCTCTCACCACTACCTGTACTTGCCGAAGCTGTCACTTCAGTCTAATCTGAAATGTTCCTCTTCAAGTCTGATGTGACATTAACATCATCATCCTGACAGGATCTAGAATCACCTAGGAGAAGAGCCCTTGGGCGTGTCTGTGAAGGACTTCCTACATAGGGTTAATTGAGGTGGCAAGACCCATCCTGACTGTGGGCTGTGGACCACATAAAAAGAAAAAAAGCATGAGGTGGTGGTGGCGCACGTCTTTATCCCAGTATTCAGGAGGCAGAGGCAGGTGGATCTCTGTGAGTTTGAGGCCAGACTGGTCTACAGAGCAAGTTCCAGGACAGGCTCCAAAGCTACAGAGAAGCTCTGTCTTGAAAAACAAAAAACAAACAAAAAAACAAAAAAAAAAAAAAAAAGGAAAAAGAAAAAGAAAAAAGCGAGCTGAATACCAGCATTTCTCTGTCTGCCTTCTGACTGTGGATACGATGTGACCAGTTGTATATCCTTACTGACCCACAAGGATGGACTGTCCTCTCTAACTAGAAACCAAATTAAAGCCTTCCTTACGTAGCCTCTGTTGAGTATTTTGCCAACTAATGCACTGTGCAGAAGGACCCAGCCAAACTTGATGCAAGAGTTAGTCGAGGACAGATCTTGGCTCTTTCCAGTCTCCCACAGGTGTCCACCCTCTGATCTCACAGCCCTTCCGGGAGGACTGCGTTCCCTACCTTCCCGAGCAGTGTACTCATTGTCTTCGATGATCCGTGCCAGGCCGAAGTCAGCAATCTTACACACCAGTGATGCAGAGACCAAGATGTTGGCAGCCCGGAGGTCTCGGTGGATGTAGTTCCTCTGCTCAATGAAGGCCATGCCCTCTGAGATCTGCGCCCGGAAGAGACAGTGTCACCCTCACATACTAAATTCTAGTAAAGAATTCTTTCTTCCAGCATAATATTTTTGTCGATTATTTTGGAATTTCACATAATGCGTCCTGATCACTCACTTCCCAGTCCTTCCACGTCTGCCCCCACCCTTGTGACCTTCTCCCAGAAAAGAAAAAAGAAAACCCAAGTCCATTTGTGTTTCCTATATATTCACTGTAGCATGGTCAAACACCCAGCAGCCAGCTCCTTAAAAAAAAACTGAGTCCTTCCCCACCCCAACCCCTGTCAGAAGGCATCAACTATGCAGTGTGTCACACAGCACACACACACACACACACACACACACACACACACACACACACACAAATATATATATATATATATATATATATATATATATATATATATATATTCCAGACAGCTTTACATGCAAATATTCATTGCAATGAGTCATTGGTCTGAAGCACCATAAATACTGGACCATCACTGAGACTTGTTTTGAATATCCAGCTGTTGCTCAGAGTCAGGATGATCTTGTGGCTAGGCAGAGCATCCAGGGGCAGGATCCAAGAGAACTCCAGTCCACTGCACACCTCCCTGCTCTCAATGCTGGCAGGTCAGAGGCTCACCCGGCCAACACACTCTCCTTGTCCCGGCAGGGTAAGCAGCTGTGGTAGCTCCTGTGGCTCTCTCCCACATTGCTCCCGTACCCTTCATCTCTGTGTCTTAGTTTTATCATTCTCCTTGTGTCTCTGCTCTGCCGTCTTCCAGTTTCATGAGTCCACTCTTTAAAAGCATTTTCCCATAGGACCTGCCTTTTTTAAGTTGTTCCACAGATACCGTGGGCTCTGCAGACTCCTCCTGCACTGATGTGTCTACCCTGTGAGCCTCCATAGGTTTCTCAGGCTCCTTGGAGCTACTCCATGGTCCTGCAGCGGGTGCTGGAGGCCATAGCCATCTTCGATCAGAGCTATGCTTCCAGTTTTCATCTTCTATAGCTATGACGTGCTCCTGGATCTGGTTCTGCAGCACCAGCTCCTCCGCATGCTCCAGCAGCTCATAGATGGAGTAGATGTTGGGATAGACCGACTCAAAGCGCTAGATCTCAGTCAAGACGGCAGTCGAGTTGGCCAGCCATGGCATTTGGCCAGTGTGGAGAATTCTTATCTGGAAGCTTCTGGTAGAAAGATTCATGGCTGTGACTTAGAGATTTTCTTACAAAGGTTAGAAGAGGCAGAAGATGAATCTCGGTTGTCCAGAAAGCAGCATGTACAATTTACAAAACTACCTTGGAGCTTTGTGAAGGTAGACTCATCATGATCCATTTCACAGAGATACTGGCCCCAAATATCAGCATCAAACCAGGCTGACTCTAGGTAGCCCAGAACTGAATTATCAGATGAGATTATCTGGGGAACTCAGGGTGGCTGAGTCTGATCAAAGCCTGAAGGGACCACGTAGTGCACTTTTAAAGAATGAACAGCAGGGGGCATCAAAGGCAGTGGAAACAGGTCCAATTTTCAGACTGCAATCTCAAGAGTGATTTTGTCTGGAATAGAGGTTGTAGTGGAATGAGCTGGGTTTTGACCTGGAGAGTGTGGGAAATTTATAGGGCATCCTTAGAAGACTAGTTTGCAAAAGTTATTAGGATGATCATGCAGCTTATTCACTATAAACTGATAAACAGAGACTTTTTGTTTGTTTGTTTACTATGGGCTTGGGGAGGTAATTTTGTTATCTCTTTCCACAGGAGGGAAAATGAAAGCCCAGAGAAGTAAATAACGAGTCAATAGCTACATAGCACATAAGATCCAGAACCAGGGCCATGAGCTACGGCTTGGCTGAGTCCACTCACCCTCTGTGTCTAGTGCTTTCCTGCTGGCTGACACTCCTACATCCGTGGTTCTTAAGTGAGCTCAACGGAGGCAGGACAACTAACTCCACTTGGGAGATAACGGAGCATCATTGCTATACGGTTCCAGAGTTGGGCCAGCTCATCTTGATCCCCAAGCTCTGTGACCTCAAGCCTTTCTCCCAGAGTTCATAGGGAGATTAACCTCTAAGCTTATACCACGGGTAAGGACAGTGTCTTCCATATAGTAGTCACTTCAGAAGTGGCTAGTAATGCCAACAGAGTGGCCGAGTGTCTTGCTCAGAGCCTCACCGGCAGAGCTAGGACCAACCCATACACCCTACATGTCACTCAAACCCCACCCTTGTGGGATACTGCTTCTCAAATGTTTGTCAACTATGTAAGGATAGGTGACTTGGGTCCAGGTGCCCCTGGGACTTGATGGTGATGAGCGGATGAGGTTTCAGAACCACCAGGCGGGTCCCCATGAAGTCAGGCAGGAGAACTTGGATCTGCTTCTGAGAGCATGAGGGAGTCCCAGAAGAACTGGTAAGCAGAGTCTAATCCAAGGCTCTTTTGTGTTTATGTGTATCCTGCTGGAAATGAAACCCAGTACCTTGTGTGCTGGGCAAGCACTCTACCCCAGAGCTACATCCCCAGCCTCTAGCCCAGGACTTGTCCTCAGGTTGTCTAGGAGTAGTCAGAAGAAAGATCACAAATAAGGCCGATCTCTGCCAACTTCAATGGGAATAGCTCTCTCTCTCTCTCTCTCTCTCTCTCTCTCTCTCTCTCTCTCTCTCTAATAGTTTATTTATTCTTATTTTATATGCATTGGTGTTTTGCCTGCATGTCTGTGTGAAGGTATCAGATCCCCTGGAATTGGAGTTACAGACAGTTGTGAGCTGCCATGTGGGTGCTGGGAATTGAACCTGGATCCTCTGGAAGAACAGCCAGTGCTCTTAAATGATGAGCCATCTCTCCAGCCCAGGAATAGCTCTCTTAAGACCTTTTAAAAAATCTACTATATAAAATTTTATTTCACCAATAAAGTTGGGACTAAAAACAGATATTAAACACAAAGCTACATTTGTGATGCAATTTCCTCATTGGACAGGGAGACCGAGAAGTAGATTAGGACCGAGGTCACAAAGCCAGGTCCCCAGGTAGTAGCCTGTTCGCCCCGGGCTCAGAATCAACCTCTGCTTTTGGATGTACCAAGACTGGAATGTCTTTCTGGCCTTGTTTGATTTCCTCAACTGTGAAGTAGGGGGCGTGTGGCTCTATTTTCTGAGATGGTCTCATGTAGCCCAGGTTGGCCTAGAACTCACTAAATAACCGAGGACAACTTTGAGCGTCTGATCCTCCTGCTCCCACCCCTCAAATGTTCAGGTTACAGATGTGCACCACTGCATCTGTTTTTGGTGGGGTTGGGGATCAAGCCTGGGACTTCATGCATGCTAGGCAAGCACTCTACTGACTCCGCTATGACCCCAGCCCCAACAATAGCTCCTTCTGCAGCCTTTGACCCTTGTCCAGCAAGTTTCCTGCTGGTTTGATGGTTATACTTTAGTAACAGGCCACACTATTGTTTTCCTGAGGACTGGGGCCCACTGAGACGGAAGCGCCAGGCCTTGATTTCCATATGTCTCTGACATTCAGGGCTCTGAAAGTAGAGCCTCTGCTTAGACCTCCCTAGTGGTTCTGAGTCCCAGGTATTTGCATACTCAAATGAGCGCTGACCTGGGCCTCTCCACCAGGCTCAACCCTAGGCTAAGCTGCAGACTCCTTCAGCTCCCAGCAGGCTGCACGCCATATCTCTTTCATCTGTGTCCTTCCTGACCAGACTCAGCCCCTTCATTTTCTCTTTGGGCTTTTGTACTGGCTGTTTCTTTTGTCTAGACCTCCTCCCTACTCCTCTGCATGTGCAGAATTTCTAATCCCCAGGTTCCTCCTAGGGACCACTTCCTGGTGAGTCCTTCTTTGACGGCTCCTGGACCGAGCCGTGCATTCCCATAGCACCACTGTCCGCCATGTTTTCTCACAGAGAGCAGAAAGCATGAGACAGGGTTGGAGAAAAACAACATCTGTGCCTTGTGTGTGTGTGGGGGGGGGCGGGGGGCAGATGAGATGACTGTTTCTTTTTTTTGTACATCATTGGGAATAGAACCCAGTGTGCCCTGCACCTAGCAAAGCTCTGTACCACTGAGTCATTTTTGTTGTGCTTGTTATTTTTAATGGGTTTTTAGGATTGTCCCTAAGGCTTACATATCCCTTTCTCTTTGCTGAATTCTTGCTCTTCAGACTGCGAGCCAGGGCCATGGGGTGGTAGGTCAAGAGAGCCCATTGTTTAATACCCATGCTCTCACCTGCAAGCAACCTGTATGAGGCCAGCAGTGCTTGCCATTTTCATCATTTCATCACCTGCCCCTCCCCCTAATCAGTCCCAGGCCAGCTGCAGAGCCCTGGGCTTCAGTTTCCTCATTTGAGTTTAACTTTTTTTAAAGACAGTCTGCAGCTCAGATCGATCTAGCCTGGAACTCCTGACCACCCATCTCCTGCCTCCTGAATGTTAGGATTAGTCATTCCCTATCATGCCCTTTGTACGTAAGTCTTTACACCTCGATTTCAGGTCTGTAAAATGGGATGAGTTACCTTCCAGTGACCAGGCTCTATTTGCCCGCCAGGACTCATCCCTCTGGTCCTGCACTGACTCTGGTCTCGGCTGCTGCAACTGGTTTTGGCCGCCAGGGTATTGACAAGTCAGTGCAAACAGGGGCTTAAGCACCAGTTGCTCCTGGAATGGGTTCTCCTGGAGCTTTGATATTGGGTGATGAGAGGCCCCACGGAGAGAGACTATAAGGATCACCTTGGACATTCTACTCATGTTCCCTCAGTTCACAGAGTGGTCCACCTAGCCTGTTACAGTCAGTCCAGAGAATCATGGGAAATATTCAAAGTTATTATTTCAGACTACTAAGCCTTGAGGTGATCTGTTACATAAAGAATGGATAACTTCCACAGCTGGTGATGAAACTCACAGGTAGAGCCCTTCTCTGGTATGTACAAGGAAGGCCTTAGGTTTCATGCCTCACACCAAAAACCAACGAACCAAGAAAATTATTCCAGGAGCTGGCGAGTTAGCTCAGTGGTTAAGAGCACTGGCTGCTTAAGCACTGGTCCCAGTGATGCAGGGTGGCTCATAACCATCTGTAACTCCAGTTCTAGAGGATCTGATGCCCTCCTCTGGCATCTGAGGGCACTAGGCATACATAGACTTACATTCAGGCAAAAGACCCATATACATATAATAATAAGAAATATTTTCTAAAAAACCCATTCCACAGTTTTGATGTGAGCTCTGTATGAATTGGTCCATATGAAGAACAGTCCATATCTGCAGGTTCTGCATCTGCAGAATCAACCAACGGCACATCAAGAATATTCTAAAAACAATTTCATCTGCATTCAGTCTCTACAGACTTTTTTAAATGACCATTATCCCCTAAACAATACAACTATTTACATGCATTTATGTTGGATTCCATAAGCCTCCAGAAATGTGTTAAGCAGTACACAGGAAAATGTGCCTAGGTTATTTGTAAATACATGATTTTCTATAAGGGACTTGAGCATACAGAAGGTTTTGGTGTCTGTGGGGTCCTGGAACAATCCATGTGCACGTGGAGGGGATAAGTGTTCACATAACAGACACAGAGCGCTCAAGTGAGGCCACCTTTCCTGACCATCACTGGCATAGGCTTACCTGGGCTGAGAAGTCAATGAGTTTTGGCAATGGCTGCCTGCCGCCTTCCTCACTCTTCAGAAACTCCAGCAGGCTTCCTGCAGAGGGGAGCAAGAGGCAACGTTGTCTACCGGACCTTAGTGAAAACCAGCCAACATTTTCTCATAGCGCTAGACGATTTTCTTCTTTGTAGTGCAAGGATTGACCCAGGACCTCACACATGAGAGGCAAGTGCTCTACCACTGAGCTACATCTCCAGCCGACTTTCTTTTTGAGATGGCATCTTGCTATATTGTCCGGCTGATCTCTCATTCCTGGGCTCCAGCTATCTTTCCACTTCAGCTAGCAAAATAGTCATGACCACAAGCTTTCCTCTTGCCCAGCCATAGTGCTAGAGTTAGGAATGCTTGCTTACTGCTCCTAGTGTCCGAGTGCTAGAGCCTGAATTTCTCTGAAAGGACTTTTCGGTTGCTAGCTGGACTCTTTGACTGAGGTAGACTCATGAGATTGGTGCCCAGGGCCTGGCTTTAGAAAACTGGCCGATTGTAGATTTGGAAAATGGAAAAGGTTTTGACATTTCAAATCACATTGGATGATGTTGGGTGAGATGTTTATCCAAAAATGAGCAGGGGCTGAAAATGACTATAGAACAGCTATCTTAAAATAAATAAATAAATAAATAAATAAATAAATAAATAAATAAATAAATAAATAAATAAATAAGAAACCTGGAAAAGCCAGGTGTGGAGACACAAGCATTTGTGAGGCTGTAATCCCAGCACTTGAGAGTCTGAGGCAGAGAGCTGCTGTGAGATTGAGGCTAGCCTGGGCTACAGAGTGAAATCCTGTCTCAAACATTCCTGAGATATGCTGAATGATCACGGGTAGGGTAGCCCAAAGCTTAGTACCCTGGAGTGACAACATGAACATTTCCCATGATGCTGTGCATTGGTCATAGTAGTCTAGGTGGACCACACTGTGAAGTGAGGTGATAGAGTGGAACATTCAAGATGATGTCTTATCTTTATGGTCTCTCTCCATGTGGCTTCTTGTCCCTTAATACTCCAAACAGGGCTTCATTACAGTCCAGTACCAAGGTTCCAAGGTACAAGTCACAAGGAAGCCATGTACCTCTTCTGTTGTCCCAGAGGCTCTGCCTGCTCCCTGCTCTGAAGCCCCTGCCCTTCCTCTCCATAACCACCCTTCACATGGTCTCACTCTGTGAGCCAGGAGGCCAGACTGACTGTTGGTGCTTTGCGAGGACTTATTGGAAGGGCCCGAAGAGCCAGCCAGGTCAAGGTCATCTTTGAGTCTGAAAGAAGTCTGCTTGGACCACAGTCCGTCCTAGCCCACGCACCTTTGGCCATGAACTCCGTGACAATAAAGATGGGCTCCTGAGTGACCACAGCATGCAGCTTCACCAGCTTATCATGCTGCAGCGTCTTCATGAGGTTGGCCTCTGCCAGGAAGGCCTCCACAGACATGCTCCCTGGCTTCATGGTCTTCACCGCCACTTTGGTGTGCTTGTTGTAGGTGGCTGGAGAAAGCACGGAGCAAGGAAGGTGGGGTTAGGGTCCAGCAGTCCTGGAGGAACCCTCCCCGCCCACCTAGTCCTTTAAACAGAGAGAGGGCACCACCAGCTGTGGGCTGGAGACCGGTTCCCTGCTTCCTAGCCGAGAGAGAACGACTGAACAAACGGCGTCAGTTCTCTGACCTGTGTTTTCCTCATCTGCCAGGTGGAAATGAAAATAAGAACTCACTCTGAAGGGCTTTTCGCAAGAGTGAAAAACAGTCTTGTATCTGGGCCTGGGGCACACACCTGTCACCCTAGAACTCCCAAGGCTGTGACGAAGAAGGACTGGCAGCACTAATTAGATTGTGACACTGCGGGGCGTTTACCCACCAACCTCACAGTTCCCCAGCGTTTTCTTGAGTGCAAGCAGCAGGAAATAATAGATAGAAGGATTTAGAGTGTGGAGATAAGCAGATAAAAAATACAGGATAGCCTCAAGAGGGCCTGAACCTATTCCAATGGGCCCTGACTGTCTCTGCCCTAGGGTATTTATAGAAACGCCAAGGGGTGGCGCAAAAGACCTCCTCCCCCAGCACAGCCAAGTGCAGACCATCTCAGACACCTGCACTCAGGCCCATGGTCCAATCAACCTCTCTATGCAGACCTGCTGAGTAAAGCCACGAGGAACCCGAAAATGGGCTCCCACATGACATGAACCTGCATACACAGTGTTTAACTCTGCCTTGAAACAAATACCAGATTCACTATGCCCCACAGGCCCTGTGTGACTTGGCCATGCCCACTTTTCTATCCTTGTCTTCCACCAAGTTCATCCCCAACACACACTCACAACCAGTGACTGAGCCAGGGCCTCATACTAATAAAGTGCTCTACTCCCGAGCTACATCCCCAGCCCCCTTTCACTTTTTATTTTGAAACAGGGTCTTACTAAGTTGTCCAGGTTGGCCTTGAACTTGTGCCCTTCTGTCTCAATATGTAGCTGGGATTATAGGTCTGGGTCACTAAATTACTCTTGCTTTCTTTTTAACAATTTAATTAAATCCTCCCCCCATCCCTGTGTGTGGTGGTGGTGGTAGTGGTGGTGGTGGTGGTGGTGGGGTGTGTGTGTGTGTGTGTGTGTGTAGGTCAGAGGACAATCTTTGCCAGCCAGTTCCCTCCTTCCACCATGGATTCTGGGGATTGAACTCAGACCATCAGCCTTTTGCAGCAAGCCTTTTCCCTGCTGAACCATCTCACTGGCCTCACTCTGGCTTTTATACAGTAACCACCCTGCATCTACCTGTCCCTCAAGTACTCCGCTGTGGGGACTTGCCACACGCTGTTCTCTTGCTCCATCCTACCCTGCTTCATTTTATGGCTCTTGCTTTTCTTTCCACATGTGCTTTGATGGCCAGGAAGCTCAAATCCAGATCTGTGGGCTTCTGGTGGTGAGAGCATGGGCCCTCATGGGACAGTGTTTTCATTTGCCCCACCTTTGCTACTCAGATCTGCCTTTCCTCCCTGCATTTCCTGATGGGATCATCCCTTTATTCAGCACCTGACGTATAGCAGGCTGGCAGTAAATGTAGTGAAACACAGACTTTGAAAACTTATTGCTGGGCAGTGTTGGTGCATGCCTTTAATCCCAGCACTTGGGAGACAAAGGTAGGTGAGTTCAAGGCCAGCCTGGTCTACAGAGTTAGTTCCAGGACAGACAAGGCTGAACAAAGAAACTCTGTCTTGAAAAACCCAACCAATCAACCAACCAAACAACTTACTTTATCTGGAAGAGCTGCCTCCCTCCCATCTGCCACACAGGGGAGTGTAAACATGTTGTGACCCCCTCCCTCCCCATGAAACAGGAATTGCTGCTCTTAAAGTATTGGGGCAAGGACCACAGGGGTGTGCCAGGCCTTTCTGGCGCCCCAGCACATCTGAAATGTCACTGGGCATCATGGCTCATGATCTGAACAGCGTAGTCCTCAGTTGTCAGCGTTGGATCTGAAAACCCAAGTTCTTTCCACCACTATAAATTTTCATCATCCCAAGAGGCTGGTTATGCCAGCTCCAGATGGTAGGCTGCCCAACTCCACACAACAGAGGGCCTTTGCCACCCAGGACTCCGGCCTCCTAGAGGGCAGTTCCTTGACCCTCAAGCCTGGCCGCAAAGGCAAAATAGTGATTTCCCAGTAGACAATTTGGTTTGTTATCTGAGGAGTGGCCCTTTGGGGTTATTATTTAAATCTCCTCTGCTGTGTGTTCTCCCGCACTGGCAGGGCCCTCCCAGCAGCACGGCCTTGGAGATTCCGGCCCCATCTCCTTACCCATCCACACTTCTCCAAACTGCCCGGCTCCAAGTTTCTTCTCCATCTGGAGGGATTCTCGAGGAATCTCCCAGGCATCTTTCTCCCATGGCTTCTGGGGTTTGGGAGACACGCATGGCACCGACAGCTTCTGGCAGAGCCCGTCCTTGCCCTCTGAAACAGAGTGCCCATTCAGCAGGTGGTACACTCCCCAAAGAACAGAGCATGATGAGATGCTACCTGTGTACCTCCACTTCCACGTCCAACAAGCCCAAACCTTCAGGACTGCCCTGAGTGACTGTTCACCTGACAAGGACAGGAAGACCTCTGGGTGCCTCAAGGTTGTCACTCAGAATCCCATGTGACTGGGATTCTGAGAGACAGGCCCTTCTTAGTGGGGCCTGATGTGATCCAGTACTTGCCTATCATGTGCCAGACTCTGGGTCCTTCCCCAGAACCAAACAACCATTGTAAAACACAGCCAAGGTGTTGAGGAATAAAGGCTGTGGCTAGGGATAGCATCCCAGCTGGGCTGCACTGTGCAGAGGTGACCTGCTTAGGCTCTGCAGTCAAATGTGGGGCAAGGCCTTGGGCAGGACTCACTCTTGTAGTGGACCACAAGTTCCTGTAGGCTGCTGAAGGTGCTCCTCGGAGAGATGTAGAAGCCTCCACTGTCCAGGGTCCGGATCTTATAATGCTTCACCGTGTCTCCGTGCTGGGGGTCGTAGTCTCGAACAGACAATGAGTAGCTCCCTGCATTGTTCCAAGAGAAGCCCCTCAGAATGGTACCTCAGAGGCCTGGCCCCCTGATGTCAGTTCCTTGACATCCTTATGATTCCCTGTGAGGCCTCTGCTGGCATCACATGAGCACATGCACACCTGGGCAGATGCTCATGTCATTAAGAGTGGGCTGAGGCATCGGGCTGCCTGGGTTCCCATCCCAGTTCTGCTATTCTCAGCTATGAGCCCTTGGACACATGACTGCATGGCCTTCCTATGCCTCAGTTTTCTCACCTGTAAAACAAGAGTAGTCATGCCATCTCATCACATTGCCCAGTGGCAAACAGAAGTAATGCTTGTAAATGACTTGGGACAGTCAGTAAGCTGGTCATCACTACCACTTCATTATTTCTGATTTATCAGCTATCTATCCATCCACTCATCATCTACCTTCTAGCTATCTATCAACCTATCTGTCTGTCTGTCTATCTATCTATCTATCTATCTATCTATCTATCCATCCATCATCTATTTAATGAAGAAAAAGCCCAGATGCCATACTAATTTGGGAGAGAGAGAGAGAGAGAGAGAGAGAGAGAGAGAGAGAGAGAGAGAGAGAGAGAGAAATATACAAATAAAAAGAAAGAACAAAGAAAACCTAGTCTGATTATGAAATGTGAAAAATGCACTGTGGTCAGCTGCATCATGGTCCATGATAGTCCTATGTGAATCCCTGCACCTGGGAATATGTGACCATATATGACATAGAATCCAAGGGCTTCCAAGTGAATCCAGAGGGTGTTTGTCAGAGGGAGGAGGTTAGTGGACGTACAGGTGGAAACAGGTGCTGAAGAGGAAAAGCCACGAGCCAAGCCATGCTGGTGGCCTCTCAAAGCCCCAAAGGACAGAAGTGATATGGGGCCCACCCCCACCCTGCAAGCTTCCGGAAGGAGCCAGTCCCACAGACACCTTGAGCCCAGTGAGCGCAGACACTTGCCTTCCAGAACTGTGAGGTAATAGATACATTGCTCTAAATCACCAAGCTTGCAGTAAGCTATGACACAGATTGTCACATAGACCAGAGACACACAAGTCTTCCAGTTCATGGCCACAGTTTGCCATGTGTGAGCTAGGCTAACCAGCCTCTCTGCCTTGCATTCTTTTTCTTTTTAATAGCACGTCATAGGCTTTGGGGGAGGTTTAAATTGCTGAATGACAGCTGACTGTACATGCCAAGCACTGTTCTAAGCATGCTGGTCAAATGAACAGCAAATGAATAGGAATAGTACACATTTCAGTAAGTTAAAATTACACGATGAATGAATGGGAATAGTATGCATTTTAATGAATTAAAATGACATGGATTATATTACTCATGATAGTGCATAGCCTCCTGAGGTATTATCAGCCTCATTTTATATAGGTGAGGAAACTGAAGTGTCAACATAACTTACTCGGAGTCACATAGCTGGTCAGTGGCTCATTTGGGTTCCAAACCTGGCCAGTTGGCTCCAGGGCCCCTTCTTGGCCACTCTGTCCCAGTCAAGGGGGCGGCCCGGAGTAGCTGTTGCTAGACAGAATATGCAGGCTCTGGGAAGCTGCCAAGTGCTCGGGGCCTCATTCTAAATCTATTTGATCCCCAGCATACCCCCTTCCCCAGAGGGCTATGGAAGCTAGCCAAGCCCCCCTCCCGCCCCCTTCCTCAACCATAGGTCTGCCATGGTGCCATTGATTTCTCTGCTTCCCTGCAGAACTGGACAGCCCAATCACTAAGCTATCATTGGCACAGCTGGAGGCAAGAAGCTGTGCCTCCCTTCAGTGTAAGTGCTTGCTGACCTCAGACGTGGATGGAAGAACTGATCCCAGACACACAGATGCCTTCACTGTCCCCAAACCTATGTGCCTCACAGTCCCAACCAGGCCACACCTTATACAACTGGCTGACCTATTCAAGTGACTTTGAGAGCAAGCGACAGCCCAAGGCTAGCTGGACACGTGGAGTCTGAACTCACATAGCACCTGTGTGCCGCTCTGGGAAACTCACCTGGGCGGTGCTAGCTGGAACCATTCTCTGTGATTTGAGGTAATTTTTTTTTTTTTTGAAATTCTGGTCACCCACTAAAGATGCCACCTTTTTATTTTTTTCTTTTGTTTTTTGTTTGTTTGTTTGTTTTTGTTGTTTTCGAGACAGGGTTTCTCCGTGTAGTTTTGGTGCCTGTCATGGATCTTGCTCTGTAGACCAGGCTGGCCTCGAACTCACAGAGATCCACCTGGCTCTGTCTCCCAAGTGCTGGGATTAAAGGCATGCGCCACCATTGCCCAGATGCCACCTTTTTAGTACAGAAATTTCAGGACAAGACCCCCGATATCTACCCATCCATGACATCTTCCTATCTACATGCCTCCAAGAGCTTCCCCCCACTATGTCTTTATGGGATAGAGCACATGCAGGTCATGTCATGCTTGTAGAGGTCAGAGGACAACACTCAGGAGTTGGTTCTTTCCTTTTACCAAGTAGATCCTGGGGATCAAAGTCAGGTTGTCAAACTCGACATCAGGCATCTGGCTAAGCCATCTCGCTGCCCACACCAAGACAGAACTTTAAGTGAGTCCCAGAGGTTGTTTTGGGTCTAGCCTTACCTCACGGCACACTGCTTCCTCACCAGGGAGAAACAGGACTTGTGGGCAGGACACAGTAGGTTGGCTATTTAAAGAATTAAACCCAGAACTTCATCAAAGTTGGGCACCAAGGGTCAGCAGGATGTCTGTTTGCTGTCAGAGCTCAAACCACTTCCGGTGACCTCAGCCTGCATCTACCAGGACTGAGGAGAGCCACCCAGCAAAGACCCTTCGCCCTCCCATCGCTCAGAGCAGCAAACGACAGGAGAACACCTGGCAGCACGGCCACTTGACAGGGCTGCTCAGCCCTCCTCAGAGAATGTCCCTAGGGGTCAGAGGTAGCACCATGGGGCACAGGAAGGCAGGGAGGGCTGGCATCACCTTTGGTGGTCTCACTGTCCCTGATCATGAAGGAGCCTAGCACATTGCCGGGAGCCAGGAGGTGGCGCTCTGCATCCTTCCGGCTGGTACCCTTGAAGAACCACCTGCCAGGAATTAATGAGTACAGTGTGAGCCTCAAGATGGACCAGCCTGTCCTGCTCATATGATGCCCAGGCCATACCTTGAAGAGCCCACCCAGAAGTCAGGGTCCAAGCAATTTCGTCATTTTTCTTACTTTTGGGGGGTGGGCTGGTGGGAAACAGCTATTCTCTCTCTCTCTCTCTCTCTCTCTCTCTCTCTCTCTCTCTCTCTCTCTCTCTCTCTCTCTGTCTGTCTCTCTCTCCTTCCTCCCTCTCTCCCTCACTTTCTTCCTTTTCTCCCTCACTTCCTTCCTTTTTCTCTTCCTCCCTTTTTCTCTTCCCCCTGCTATTTCTGGGTACAGATGGAAAAGTTCCTATTGTAAAGGCTGAAGCAGTTCTCACTCTCACTAGGATAAGGAGCAATTTGCTACCACAATGGGCAGGGAACCTTGAGATGTCAGCATGCCTCAACCCTGCTGGGTGACTCTCGTTCTATTCTCTGTTTCCTCAGTTATCAACAAGGGAGAAAGACAGCTAATATTCATCAGTCGTCCCCCCCCTCCCCCCGCCTCAAACTCACAGAGATCCGCCTGCCTCTGCCTCCTGACTGCTGGGATTAAAGGTGTGTGCCACGAAGCCCGGCTCATTTGTTTTTTAAAAATAAATTCTTTCTTTCTCTCCCGCCACCTCTTGTGTGTGTTTGTGTATGTGTGCGTGTATTTGTGTGTGTGTGTGTGTGTGTGTGTGTGTGTGTGTGTGTGTGTGTGTGTGTGAGAGAGAGAGAGAGAGAGAGAGAGAGAGAGAGAGAGAGAGAGCTGGTGTGTCCATGGAGGCCAGAAGGGTGTCAGATCCCCTGGAGCTGGAGTTACAGGCAGTTGTAAACCCCTGCGTTGGGAACTAAACTTCAGTTTTCTGAAAAGGCAGCCAGTGTTCTTAACCACTGAGCCTCCAGCCCCAGCTTACCAAGAGACCTAACACTATGTGATTGTCATCTTTATTATTCTTATTTTATAGTGATCAAACTGGAGAACCAAGAGGACAAGTAGCTTGTCTGGGGTCACACAGCTTGGAAGTGAAAGGGACAGGATTAGAACCCAGACAGTCTCCTTCCAGAGCCCAGGTGTGAGAGCTCATACTCAAGAGGGAGGCAGATAGTGCATGTGCAGATGACCAAAAAACCCAATGTTCCTTTTTGCCAGTGGGATATGTTCAGAAAGAAGTAGAAACAGGCTTCTTGGGAGCCATCTTGGACAGGGTGTTGGGACAGGCCTCCGAAGCCTGAAGCAAGAGAAGAAGCAGCCAAACCAAGAGCCCCAGGAGGAGGGTGCCAACAGGGGAGAGATCGTGCAATGGTGCTGAGGTGGGAGCCGGCCCGTTTTGCTCAGGCCACTTTCTGGAAGACAGGGATAGAACACTTACTCCTCCGTCTCCAAAGAGTTAACACGAGCCACATAGTTGCTTGGGATGTAGCCTTCTTTACGGGTAGCCAAGGATCGTGCCCTCCACCACTCCCCAGACCTAAGGAAAAGGAGGGAAAGAAGGGTCAGTGGGTGCAGGAACCCTTCAGTCCCTTGTGGCCCCCACTTAGGCCTAGAAAGCTCACCCTCCCCACACTCAGGAAGCCAGGAGGGTGAGGCACAGGGCACCCAGCATGTGCCTGGACTAGGGTAGAAGAGCTGATAGTCTCCACAGGAATTTGGGGTGAAGTCTGTCCCTGAGTCACAGACTACATCCTGGGTCTTTGGATCCCTTCTCCTTCCTGGACTTTTATCCTTGGCTGGACTACCCTTACCCAATCCAGGACCTGTGTCCAGGAAGCACTCACATTGATTGGTTCAGCAGGGGTCCAGAGGAGAAGGCTCTGGGCTCAGGGTTTGACTGTGCATGGCCAGGTCCCACTCTGGGATCTCAGTACAATCTGAACTCTTGTGGCAGCCCGATGCTGAAAGCTGTGACCATCCCAGGTGGGGAACTCAGAGACCCCGGGATGTCTGAGTGCAAAGCCTCCTGAAGGGGCCAGGCCTGCAGGGACACCTGGAGCCCAGTCACAGGAGCCTTAGGAAGGCTCTGCAGAGAGCCTGCCTGGAAGGGGACAGTCCCTGTCACCGTTTCTGTTACCTAAGAGGTGGCAAAGCCCTCCTCCTCTGTGGTATGCACCCAAGTTCTCATCTGTCATTTACTGCCAGAGTTAGACAGGCTCTCGGGTTCTTTAATGATGCAGAGCAAGAGTGTAGCTAAACCCCGCAGGTGGGTGTGTCTTAGGGCCAGGCTAGAACTCACTCCTCCAGGACCACCATCTGGTCTCCCTTCTGGAAGCTGAGGTCTTCACGGTGAATGGCCTCGTAGTCATAAAGTGCAACCACAACGATGTCCTCAGAGCCTGCCAGGGAAGGAGATGCCAGGATGAGACCCCGTGCCGGCTCCCAGCACCCCACTCTGGACCCACTCCTTTGCCTGTCTCATAGATGACTGAGTAGCCTCCAGTGCTGGGTGTGATGCTGGTTAAAGTCCATAGGACTTTGTCCACATCACTGGGTGACGTTCTCGAAACACAAGAGCTCCGGCAACGGACTCAGGAGTAATTCAGAGGATACTCAAGGATGGAGTGCTGGTTAGTTTTCACCAACTTGACACAAACCGGAGTCACTTGGGAAGAGGGAACTTCACAGAAAGAATTGCCCAAATCAGATTGACCTGTGGGCAAGTCTGTAGGGCATTTTTTTTCTTGATTGATGGTTGATGTGGGAGGGTCCAGCCCCTAAGGGCTGTGTTTCCCTTGGACAGCTGGTTTTAGATATATATAAGAAATATATAAGAAAGCAGGTTGAGCAAGCAATAAGCGCTGTTCCTGGGTGATCTCTGCTTCAGTTCCTGTTTCTACCTTCCTGCCGAGTTTTTGCTCTGACTTCTCTCAGTGACTGACTGTGATCTGCAAGTTGTAAAATGAAATAAACCCTTTCCTCCCCCAGGTGCTTTTGATCATAGTGTTTTCTCACAGCATCACAAAAAAAAAAAACAAAAACAAAAACAAAACCCTTAAGCCAAATAAAGAAAACCAAACTACTACAGATGTTTTTGACTTTTTCCCACCAGCTACAACTCAGAACCCAAGCTAATAGATGGTACATGATGCCGGTGACCCCTGCCTCCAGATACTCACCCTCCACAAACCCTGGGGGCATGCTGTTGTTGTTGCTTGACCCCTGCAGGAAGAAACAGGAAAAGGACATGGGTCTAAAGTATGAGGAGCCTGTATTGAAAGGATATCTAAGGACATCTTGCTCTGGCCCTGGGTCCTGAGAGGAGAGGATTACAGGCATAGGTGGAGTCACGTGGCTTAATAAGGGGCAGAGCTTGCTCAAGGATGGAGATCTCTTAGCTTGTGACCTGGGCCTTTGTCTTGAAATACTGGAAAAGGCTGGATTGCTCCTCCCACAAAGTGAGAGAACTGGACCACCTCAGTGTTTTTGATTGATATCTGAAGGTACCTTGGGTACCAGGTTTCTCGTGAACAGACTTCATCATGCTTGTGGAGCAATCTGAGAGCCCAGTGAAGGAGGCGTGGTCACCAGGGCTGTGGGGCTCTAAGTATCACTTAGAGGACTTCACAGGCATTGCTGAGTGAAAACAGCTTCTTCTGCTATGGTGGTTTGACAGAAAATGGCCCCCAAAGGGAGTGGCACTATTAGGAGGTGTGGCCTTATTGGAGTAGATGTGGTCTTGTTGGAGGAAGTGTTACCGAGGAGACAAGCTTTGAGATCTCATGTGCTCAAGCTATGCCCAGTGTCTCAGACCACTTCCTGTTGCCTGCAAGTCAAGATGTAGGAAACTCAGCTACTTCTCCAGCACCATGTCTGCCTGCACACTACCATGTTGCACCATGATGATAATGGACTAAACCTCTGAAAATGTAAGACACCCCAGTGAAATGTTTTTCTTTTATAACAGTTGCCATGGTCATGGTGTCTCTTCCCAGCAACAGAAACCCTAACTAAGACATCTGCTGGACATTACATTATTGAAGCTGGGCATGGTGGTGCACACATATAATGCCAACACTGGGTGCCAAGCAGCCTGGACTACAGAATGAGATCCTGTCTTCAAAAGTAAGCATACAAACAAGCAAATCATTATATATTTATATCAAACACGGATACATATTTCCTGTGGACACGTCCTTGGTCGTAGATTGGTAAATGCATGAAAAAGTGTTTTTAAATGTCCATATCAAACTGATAATGATTGATGCTTTTAGGGGATGTGTCACTTGCCCAGCTCCGTAATTCATGACTTTTTTTTTTTTTTTTTTAAAGATTTATTTATTATGTATACAGTGTTCTGTCTGCATATACACCTGCAGGTCAGAAGAGGGCGCCAGATCTCATTATGGATGGTTGTGAGCCACCATGTGGTTGCTGGGAATTGAACTCATGACCTCTGGAAGAACAGCCAGTGCTCTTAACCTCTGAGCCATCTCTCCAGCCCAATTCATGACTTTTTATCTTCAATAAGAGTGTGCCTCCTGTCACACATGCCCTTACACGTTCATTTAAGGAAGCATTGAGGGATACTTGATGTTTGTTTTGAAAGATTCTTAAAGGCTCCGAGATGTCCTTAAGGAAGGTGCCTGTGTCATCCAGGGTTTCTCGAACAGATTTGGCCTGGGAACGCCTTCTCCTAGAAACATTCTCTTACTTACCTCCACCTCTGGGCCAGCACCAAGGAGGAGGGAACAGCGTGAGCTCTGACAACTGCACCCCTTCTCAGGAAGGACAACCCAAAGCTGTCCTTCAGAAGCAGGGCTTCGTAAGTGAGGAAAAGACCCAGGGATGTAACCAACTCAGGATGTCACCAGTGTGAGACATTTGTGTAACCACAGGCTGTGTTAACAGAGGTCAAAAAGGGACGGGGGGGGGGGGGCGGCCATTGCATTATTTCCTCTTCTCAGGAATAGTCCTATTCTGAGCCTCACACTCGGAGAAGGACACGTAGGACAGAAGTCTAGGGCTCACATCCTGAGAAGGCTCAGAGGGGTGGACCTGGGGCAAGCTTTTGCCTTCACAGTGGGCTGTCACTGGGTGAAGCGACTGTATGCATTTGGGGCAGCCTTGGGATAAAGATTATGTGTAACTGACCTCCCTTAAATAAGGAAGAACTTTTTTTTTTTTTGAGACAGGGTTTCTCTGTGTAGCTCTCACTGTCCTGGAACTCACTCTGTAGACCAGGCTGGTCTCGAACTCAGAGATGCACCTGCCTCTGCCTCCAGGATGCTGGGATTAAAGGTGTGTGTCACCACCGCCCGGCTGAGGAAGAACTTAAAATATTATTGTGTGTGTTCTGTGAGTGCATGGTGTGTGAGTGTGGATGCCCCTGTCATGGTGTGCATATAGCTCTCTCTGTGGCGTCACTTCTCTCCTCGCACTTCTATGGGGCTTTGACTCAGGCTGCCAGGCCTGCGATGCAAGAGCCTTTTCCCCAGACCCACCTCACAGACTTAGGAAGAGCTTCTTAAGGGACCAACAGATGAAGGGATGCACTCCACTTTGGGAGACACTAAGAATGGTGGGCTCCCTCACCACTAGCAAATGAAGGGAAGGACCAAAGGGCTGCAAAGCAGACAGAGCTCCAGGTTTGGAGCTGAAAGGCCCCAAACTTGATGGCTTCCCAGGTGCTTGATCTCCTCACCCCAGGACCACTCAAGTTCTTTGGATCTGAGTCACCCTGATGGTGAGCAGCATCCTCCTGCTTCCCAGGCTAGGGTGAAGATTCTCAGGGACACACCCCTGCTCCTTGTGCCCAGAACAGAGTGGGTGTCTAGAGAAGAGGGCAACAGTTACACCTCTTATGCTGCTGTGATTACAGCCATGGCCGTAGCTCCCGTCATCCCTGCCGTTGAGCTCTGAGATGCATGAGCCTATGGGGACCGTCACAGTGGCTGTGTGGGACCACTGTTACCCTAGCACCACCTCAACCACAACACCCAGAGTGAGTGCTCACCTCTGCCTCAGCAGCTCTTGATTTTGTGCTCTTGCTGACCACATGGTCTTTGTTAGGTCATTCTTCCTCCGGGGCCATGCACTTGTTCTGTTTTGTTGGAGCAAGATCTCTCACTGGCATAGCATTCTCTGATTAGATTAGGCTGTCTGGTCGGCATGCCTCTGCCTCCTCAGTGCTGGGGTTATAAGCATGTACCACCACACCTGGCTTCTTTTCTTTTCTTCCTGTCTTTAAACATGAGTTCTAGAGATGCAACTTGGGTTCTTGCGCTTGTGTGGAAAGCACTGAATGGACTGAGCTGTCTCCCACTTCCTGTAATATACCTTCATTTTATTGACTGCTCTCACTGATGCCCCTACAGCCACTGTGGGGATCTGCATAGGCTCATGCATTTGAACACTCGGCCTCTAACTGATGGTACTGTTTGGGAGGCTGAGGAGGTGTGGCCTTGCTGGAGGAAGTATGTCACTGGGGGTAGGTTTTGAGAGCTAAAAGGCTCATACCATTTCTGATTCCTTCTCTATGGCTCAAGATGCGAGTGCTCAGCTGCTGCTCCAGTCGCCGTGCCTGCCGCCTGCTGCCTCTGCTTCACCATCATGGACTCTAACCCTCGAAAACCATGAGTCCAAATAAACCCCTTCTAAAAGTCACCTTGGTTGTGGTGTTTCATCACAGTAATAGAAAAGTAACTAATATAGCCACTACTGCTGGGGTTTTATTTTTGTTTTGCATGTGTGTGATGTACATTTATGTGTGTTCATGTGTATGTAGATGCACATCTGTGTACAGGTATGTGTGTACGTGGGTGCACACATGTATGGAGCCCCTGAAGTTGATGTCTTCCTCCCTCCCTCTCCATCTTATATATTGATGGGAAGTCTATCTAGCCAGCTTACTCTGGAGAGCCTGTGTCTCTGCCTCTGAGTGCTGGGATCGTAGATGCTACTGGGGATCCAAGCTCTGGTTCTCACACTTGAGCAACAGTACTTTATCCACTGAGCCATCCCTCAGCCCCTACTATTGCTGTTTGCTGCTCCCCTTGCTGGAATTGCTGTTATACTTTTGTCAGGCAGATGGACAGCCATGCTGCTGCTGTTGTACTGCTGTGGACAGGGTCCAGGTTCAAGGTCCACACCTGACTTGATTAAGAGGCGGAGACCTGGGCCAGGCCCTGGTTGCCACATAAGAAGCAGCTTCCATGCCTAGGGAAGCATCCTGGAAATGGCTCACGGGTTCCATCTCACCCAAGTTCACTTCACTGGGCCAGGGCAGGAAAGGGTTTCAAGGCCCTATGGCAAGTGCTGGATAGCTCCCTGGGTGCCCTACTCACCGGCTTGTTGGAGGGCGTGGGATCTGGCACATACACAGGACCCTTCTGATTGGTACTTGGTTCTGTTTTTGAGACCTTGCTTCCATCTCGAAGGAACTTGGACTTCATGCATCCCATCCTGTAGCCAAAAGAAGGGAAGACAGGAGTCTTCACATCCCCACCCTGCCTGCCAGCCCCGAGTGAAACTGCTTGGGTCCTCAGCTTCTCTCTGGCCCGTCTGCCATGCTGCTTGGTCAGAGCTCACATGGTGTTCTAGTCCTGGGCTCTAAGGACCAGCAGAATGGGGAGTCCACTAAGGAAAATCACAAGACTAATGGAAACAGCATGGCAGAGCTGTGGAGCAGTATGGGGCAATGTGGGTGGTGGGTAGTGTTGGCCTGGGGTTAGGAAACCGAGCTGATCCCTGACCCCTGCACACCACTGCACTTCATCTGTCATCCCCACCCCCATCCCCAGCAAACTCTCTACCCCTCCTGCAGAGTGCTGGAAGGATGGGGAAACCTGTGGCAATGGGAAACACTCAGCTGCCTCTGGATGGCATCCCAGCCCCCGAAGAGCCTGACATGAGATAAAACTATATTGTTACTGTGTGTTAAGTCCCAACAATGAAAATGTATAACATGGCTCAAATAATCCAGAAAAATAACTGAGCATCATACTCCTTGTGTTATGATTGGCTTATAGATCCATCCATCCTCTTTCTCATCCCTCCTTCCTTCCTTTTCTCCTCTTTCTAGTGGGTTTATCTGGTCATTCATTCATTCATTCACTTGTTCATTCAAGTTTACACTTCTTTTTTTTTTTTTAAAGACAGATTCTCCTATATCCCAGGCTAGCCTCCAACTCAGTCATGTAGCTGAGGATGACCTTGATCTTCTGATCCTCCTGCCTCCACCTCCCAAGTGCTGCCAATTACAAGCATGCAGCATCACACACAATTTATGTGGAACCCAGGACTCTGTGCATGCTGGGTAAGCACTCTTCCAACTGAGCCCCATTCCCTGCCAACATTTATGTTATTTTTCTAAAACCATGAATAAGACAGGCCAGTTCACGTCCTCTGGAGCTCAATTGGAGATGAAAAGGAGACACAGACAACAAACTAGTGAACAGGAAACTGACATGACGAATTTAGTGACAAGTGTGAGGGCAGTGGTACAGAGGATGCTGTAGGGGACAGCTGGGCATGGCTCTGGAGACAGAACAGCTGGGGAAGGCCTCTCTTAGGTGACATTAGCCCAGGTTTCTGAGTAATACAACTGGCTCTCTGAAGGTAGAGTATGGCAGGTCGCAGAACCAGCAAGTGCAAAGGTCCTGAGGTTAGGATGTGCTTGGAGGGGTGGACCTCTCCAAGCAGGAAAGGTATGTGCCAAGGCCACCATATCTCACAGGCCAGGGAGGAATTAGATTTTACTCTAAGGAGGTGGGAACCGTGGAGACTTTGGGGTTCAATTTGTGGGTTTTTTTTTTTTTACTTTACTTTTATTTTCCAGACTGGCTACTACCCCATTGAGCTGTATCTCCAGGGCATCAGCTGTACTTTGAGATGAATCACTGGTTACCGGGAGAAGTGTGGAGGATTATGGAAGCAGTGCATGGACCCTGTGAGGAGAATGCTGTGATGTCTGGCCATGGGTAATGGCAGCTCTGAGGGACGTTAGGGGGGATAGAACCCTACCTCTTAGAGGCAGACCACTCCAGCTTTGCGGCTGTATTAAGAGGAAACACATTCACCTGTTTGTTTTGAGACTGTCCTGCTATGTAGCCCAGGCTAGCCTCAAACTCACATTCTTCCTGCCTCAGCCCCGTAGTGCAAGAGCTGTAGCTGTGTGTCACCACACCTCGATGCTGACCTAGTAACTGGAGTCAAACCTTAACTGTAGGGAGCTAAGGGCATCGCTTGGCGGTAGAGGGCTGACTTAGCATGTGTGAGGCCCTGGGATGGGGACCCAGAGATGGATCCCAGCACTGTATACTCAAAAACTTCATCGCAGAGTGGCCGAAGAGTTTCTTCCCTCACGTGTTTGCCGAGAAAACAGGCTGCCAGTCACTATAGGAGGAAGTGCCGGTTTCCCGGCACTGCACGGCTCTGGGCCAGTGAGAGAGAATTCGGCGCCATTGTGGCCACGCGACCCAAACACACTGCATCTCGTCGGATCGCAGAAGCTAAGAAGGGTTGGGCCTGGATAGTATTCAGGTGGGAAAATTCAGTTACACTTGAGTTGCTAAAGTCAGCCTGGGCTACATGAGATCCTGTCTCAAAACAAACAATTTAAGTCTCAAGCAAGAGCAAAAAACAAAACAAAACAACAACAACAACAAAAACAAAAACAAAAAAACCCAACCCAGTATGAGTTCTTCTATTTACCAGTATTTGTCTATCCTGGGAGAGAACACATTCAGATTCCTGGAATGCTAGATCATTAATCTGAAATTTCATCACAATGAATCAACTGCTTTATAATTTAAACCTGAAACCAACATCTCTTGATTTGTGAGAAAAAGCCCTGGGAAATTAAGCGGCATCTTGTGTGTGTGTTTTACATTGCATAAGATCACAGTACACTGGCATGTTTTGATTGGTCAGAGGAACTGCTGTGTGAGGAAGGGCAGCTCCATCCCCTGTGCATGGGCAGTAGACAGATGCAGCTGTGTGCACCAATGCAACACGGATGCCTCAATCACAGAGTGCATAGTAAGCATCATTTACAAGGATGATTTACATATTCATGAAGATCCCACCTCAGGCCCCTCTCAGAAAGGATGGTGGGGTCCTCTTTTTTTTCCTTTCTTTCCTGGTGCTGTGGATGGAACCTAGGACAGCATAAATGTTGAGCAAGAGCCCGACCACTGAGCTATGTCCCCAGCTTGGATGGCAGGCTCTGTCCCATGGGGTGGGGGGGTGTCTAAGGGAGCTGACGGAAGTGAAAGTACTGGGCACAGTGAACCCCACAGAAACCTCAGCCCTAATATTTCTATTTACGAGCAAATGTGCCACGAAATGGGGGGGTGTGGTGGGAGGTGTGACTCGGTGTAGCACTTGCTAGGCATAGAGGAGCCTTGGGTTCAAGCCCCACTCCCTACCAGATCCGAAACAAACCAGTGGCTTAGAGGCAAGGGGCGTCTGCAGTCCCTTTGGCCAGGAGCTACAGCCACCACACACAGCAGGAACTTTTGAGACGGAATTCCCATCACCTTGGAGCAGGTGCGCATGCACCACAGCATGTGTGTGTAGGGGCTTCAGGGCACAGCCCTGGCAACTGGCACTCCCCTCCACTGTGTTTGGAGACAGGGCCTTGTGAAGGAGTATTCCTGGAAAGAAGCGGTGTCTACAGAGGCGGATTAACCGATTAGATCCCCAGTGATGTTCAGAGGCTGCAGCCCAGCAGGGCCAGAGCCTAGTAACAGCTGCGCCTAATTACAGGCTAACTTGAGTCTCCTAAATAGCCATTCCTTGACCACCTCTAACACCCTGTGGCTAACAGATAAAAACCTTCTGCAATGTATTGACTTAACAAAACCCTTCAATTTTTCCACCAACTGAAGGGTTAAGAAAGCAAGCCGACAGCATCTGAAGCCTACAGTGGAGATTCTCCTGCTTTGCCGTAACCACCTAACTCATGCTCCCCCCGGGGTATTTAAAAAGTGTCTCAATTCATAATTCTCTTTGTCTCATTACTATAAAAAACTTCATGAGACTGCTTCATGTTGGAACATGGAATTTGGGATGACCTAATCTGCATTCCTGACTATGGTCACTCAGCTCCAGAATAAACTCACCTCTTACAAAAGGGATGTTCATAGCCTCTTGTTCACTGCTGTATCTGCCAGGCTAGCTGGCCTGAGAGCTTCAGGTGACTCATTCTCCTGCCTCCACCTCCCATTCTCCCATAAGGGCACACGAGGATTAGACACATGTGCTGCTGTGTCCAGCCTTATGGAGTTCTGTGGATCCAAACTCAGGGTGTCAGGCTTGCTGGTGAGCATTTTCCTGCTGAGCCATCTTCTAGTGACTGATCGCCTGCTCAGAGCACCTCGTTCTTTACAGTGAGGTGTCGGGATATGGCTTTCGCTCCATGGATCAAGCTGAGCAGTGAAATCTGAGCACACAGAATGGCATCTCATGGAGAAGCCACTGGTGGAGACTGTGGTAGATTGGTTATGGCCTGGAGTGGGATGTGGGGAGTTTTGTTGAATGGAAGCATCTTTGGCTTTAGAAGATGATGGGGGTTGTGAAGGTGGATGATGGCAACGGTGGGTACATTATGAATGCATTTAAATGCCACTGAACTACACATTTAAAATGGTTATGGTGAGAGATTCTGTGTTACATGTATTTACTGCAGCTTGCTTCTATGTCACATATATCATCTCTCTTCCCCACGCCTCCCTCCCTTTAGGCTTCTCCATCCCCCCCCCCACCATACATGTATATGCAAATTTATATCTAGATTCTGTATTTGAGAGAATACATGGTATTTGCCTTCCCAAGTTCGGCTTATTTCACTTAACACCTTCAGTTTCATCCTCTTTCCTAAAACCTGCATAATTTTATTCTTCTTTATAGCAGAGTAATACTCTATTCTGTATACCTATTTCTTTTTCTTTATCTATTCAGTTGCTGATAGACCTCTAGTGGTTCTATTTCCTGGTTACTGTGACTAGTGCAGCAATAAACAAGGATGTGCAACTGTGTTGACCGACAACCCTTTGGGTATATACCCAGAAGTGGTGCAGCTGGGTCAGACGGTAGCTCCATTTCGAGTGTTTTTGAGGAACCCTCATATTGATTTCCAGAGTGGCTGCACTAGCTTACACTCCCATCAGCAGTGATGGAGGTTCTTTCTTCACATCCTCACCAGCATGTCATCATCTTTTTGTTTTCGTTTGTTGAGACAGGCTCTCATTATGTATCCCAGGCTAGCCTAGGACTCGTGACAATCCTCCTACCTCCACCTCATTTGTTTTCCTGATGACAGATTGGGTGAGAGTTTTAATTTGCATTTCCCTGTTGGCTAAAGATGTTGAAGATTTTTTTTTCAAATACTATTGGCCACTTGTATTTCTTTCTTTGAGAAATGCCTATTCGGTTCATATCCCACTTATAGATTTGGGTTC